CAGTCATAGCTTGGGAACTCAAATGTAACATCCTTGCCTGTGAGCTTCTTGTACACTGAGGAAAAAGTGTCCACCTGACAAGCAATAAAAATCACAATTACCATTGCTATTGACAAACCAATGAGGGAACAAACAATTTCTCTTGGAGCACATCAAAAGATTTTAAATTCACGCTAGAGATGATTAAACAAATTGAGAACCCATAAGAATCATGATCATTAAACTTTGCTGAATTCCTTCTTTTCTGTCTCGTTACAGACGTAGGATGCCAAAAGAGGTTATACCACTGAGAATACACAACTTTAAGACTATTTCTAAGCTGGAAATTTGGTCGGTCTTCTAGTACTAACCCTTTAATTCCCCTGAGTGACCAAGACATAATTTCTCCTTGCCATATGAATACAATATCAAACAGACAAGTAATGGGAATAAGGAAAAACAAAAATTTGGAGATTATTGGTTGATCCAATAACAAACTCTCTGAATCACCATCAAAAGAATTGTGTAGCAGACATTAAGGAGAATTACTAATGGATTTTAAAGTTGGTCATTTCAGGCCTTGATTAATCTAATTTTAAAAACAGATCCCCTCAGAAATAGTTGTAGCCAACTCAATCATAACTTTATGTCAGATTGGGGCGGCATCTTCTATCATCACTAAGGAATCAAGGAACACTCCCAGTATGTATATGATAATGTTAGGCACCACTAAGCCAAAGTTTGACTCTCACCTTGTGTTCCACATTTGTTTGCTGCAGTTTGTCAAGATGTCTGAAAAGGGGAGAATTATTAGAAGGCTGTCAGTCTTCGGTCGGCCTAATAGTACTTGGAAGAGAGAAAGATCACAGAAACACAAGAGCAACCAACCTTTTCCAAAGGAGCTTGCTATTTATTTGCATGCATAGAGGACTTTCAAAGGCTTTTAAATTGACAAGCATCAGAGAAAAAAAATTTAGAGGCAGAATGAGGCCATCTGATTATGCTACTTTTTGGTTTGAAGATGTGCAAATTCACCATAGAAATTTGGGCATACTGTAACATACTAAAATACAAAACACTAAGTTGCACTCACACTTTGATTAATTTTGAACCATCCAGTTTCACTCTTGTCCTCTTTCCAACTATTTCACTTGGGTAGACCAGTTCTTCAAGGATGGCATCGTGAACAGCTGTCAAAGTTCGACTGTTTACAAACAAAACACTTGAACTCAGAGACAACACAAAATAAAAGCACTTCCTCAGTGACCAGTATAATCTAATTAAATAAAAATTTTGATACCACATGTTGGCCATTAAGCCTATCACACACATATTGTCTCTCATGGTGTCAATCAGACTGGAGCAACAACAGCTAATCATTAGCGTCATGCCAGTAGAGCTTTCTTAAACCCTTTAATCCCAAGATCGAATTCATTCTCCTCTTTGGCTGCTACACATTTCCTAATAAATTAGTTACAAGAATTTGGTGTTTTATAATGAAAATGTCCTCCTGATCAGCATAAGTATTCTCATAGCTTGTTTGCTGGATGAAGTGCAGATATTAAAAGAGAAGTTAGATTTAAATCACGTGGGTTAAAGGGTTAAGTCAAGAGTGGTGAAATGCAACTACCGTGGGAAATTACTGTAGACTTACCTTCTTGGCCTCTTCTGTTTTTGATTTCTTGATTTTCTTGTTTGTCGTGGAAGGATTCTCCTCTGCAAGGAAAAATAGGATAAATTTTTAAGGATGGCTCTCCAAACAGGCTAAAGTGTAAATTAAGAAAATTCTGTATTCATTAACTGAGATAAAATTTCACCAAAAATTAAACCTTTTGGCAGATACCCAGTAATCAAGTACTAGTTTAGAAACATCATATAATAACTATTAGACTTCATTCTGTACAAACAACAACAACAACAACAACAACAACAACAACCAAAATTGGCCAATATCCAGCCACGTTGATCTTAGCCTTGGTCAATAATGTATATGTAAACAACCTGCTGAACCAAGCTGTGTTCCAGGGCTCAAAATAATTTTTCAGCTTTCAGCGTGAATTTGTAGGCTTTTGCCAAGGCTCATTTTTCCCCCCCAACTGTCACTATCTTTTTTTTGATCAGCATGTTTTGTTGTGGCAATTCCTTTCCCAACAAAGTGAAGTGAATGGCTCAATTTTTTGGTGTTTGTTCAAATGTGAAATATACAACTTTGTCTAGACAAATTGTCACACTACTGTCAAGTATCGACTTTAATTTGAATGTGTGAGAAGGCTTTACAAACGACATTAAACATGATTTGGCAGAAAATAAATCTTGATTCAAGATTGTATGTATGTGCAGAAATATAAAAATGGTAATATGATGGTGTGTACACAAACTTGCATGTTTCATGCTTGAACAAATACATAGAA